CGATAAGCATACGATTCCTGGTAAGCATGAAATCCTCTCGAGCATACTGTATGTTCCCGGTAAACATACGATTCCCGGTAAACATACGATTCCCAGTAAACATACGATTCCCGGTAAGCATACGCTTCCCGACGAGCGCTGATTTCTCGTTGAGAATGGATTTCCCCACGAAACTCCCCGGAATCGTTTCAGGCTCGGACGGCGAAGGCCAGCTGGCCGTGATGGTCTACGTCCACGGCGAGAGCTTCGAGTGGGGCTCGGGGAATCCGTACGACGGGAGCATCCTCGCCTCGCACGGGCGAGTCGTCGTCGTCACGCTCAACTACCGGCTCGGGGTCCTCGGTAACACCTAATTTCATCATTTTATTTACTAGTCATTTATTTATTTATGTATTTCATTAATTAGTCATTTATTTTTTTACTTCATCGATTGATTAGTTTGTTAAATTAACTGATCCATAAAATTAGCTTAAACTTTTTAGAAATAAAGACTGAAAAAGAGTTTTGAAATGTAGGTTGGAGGCAAAATTTTTATATTTAAAAGGAAAACTTGAGAATTTTTTTCTTAGCAGTTCTTCAATACTTGAGCTTTAATTTGAGATGCAATATTTGAAAGAGCTTCTTTTGATATGTTCCTGACGCAAAATAAGAGGGGGGAAATAATTGAAAGGGGATTCCTTTCCGAGATTGGGTGGGGTCTATCGGGGGTCTGTCGGAAGTCTGTCGGAGGTCTATAAGGGATCCATCGGGGAAAAGCTCTCAGGTCTTCCCCAGAAATTGGAAGTATTCTCTCGGGGGCACTCGAGAAGATTCGAGACGCGTGGGAGTTAGCAGGAAAAAAAAAATTCCTCACTCATGCAAATTTAAAAATAGCACGAATGAATTCGCGAAATTGCAAAAATATCTGTAGGGTTCCTGAAGACGAGCGGCCGGAACGAGCAGCAGGGGACTGGACTGCACGACCAGCTGGCGGCGCTGCACTGGCTGCAGGAGAACGTCGGGGCCTTCGGGGGGGATCCGGCACGGATCACCATCTTCGGGCACGGCACCGGCGCGGCCCTCGTCAATCTGCATCTGCTGTCGAAGATCACTAAAGGTCCGTCGAGAAAATGATATGCCAAAAAAAAAAATTAGAAAAAAAGGAAATTTTTAGACAGAAGAAATCTCCCATTAAAAATGAAATGGTTGTTTGCGGGAGATTTAAAAAATGAAAGAAATCTCCCAAAAGCAACGAAATGGGGATTGGGGTTTGAGGGAGATTTCGGCAGAAACAATCATTTGGATTTTTTTGTCGGGAGAGAATCGTGAGGGAATATTTTCGGGACGATCGATGCTCGCATCTCAGGGATCATCCGGCGAGCGATCCTGATGAGCGGCTCGGCGCTGAGTCCCTGGGGATTCCTCAGGGACCCGCTCGAGACGAAGAAGCAGGTGGGAGAGTCGCTCAACTGCAGCCTGGAGAGGCCGGACAGGGAGGACCTGGCGCCTTGCCTCAGACTCAAGTCGCTCTTCTCCCTGCTCAACGCGGAGCCGGCTCCGCCCGCGTTCACGCCGGCGTACGGGCCGTTCGTGGACCTCAACATGGTCGTGTCGAGTCCGGATTACCTGCTGAGGCGTTACAAGGGCGAGACGGACCTGCTCGTGGGCGTCACGACCGCCGAGAGCTTCCTGGACCTCAACGACCGCGACGTCAAGTTCGGCTTCGAGGAGTC